AGTCCTGACAAACAAACAAACAAACAAACAAACAAACAAACAAACAAACAAACAAATGGTTCCAGACACTCCCAGATGGCCCCCAGGGTCTGTAAGGGCCAAAATTGCCTCCAGTTGAGAACTACTGCTCTAGATGTGTCTGGTACTGAGATTGGCTTTTCACTTCAGTGACCCTGCTTTTTCCAACAAGCACGAGTTTCAGATTTAGAGAACTGTTTTGTTTAGTTTTTTAATTTATTGATTTGAGAGAGAAGAAGGGAGAGAGACATCGATTTGTTGTTCCACTTATGCATTAACTTGTTGCTTCTTGTATGTGCTCTGACTGGGGATTGAACCCTCAACCTTGGCATATTGTAATGACACTCTAACCAACTGAACTACCCAGCCAGGGCAAATTTAGATAACCTTGTAAGGCCAAAACATTGATTTATTCTATAGAATAAAAATAATGTAGTTTAAAAACTAAGAGTTTTTGCCAATTTAAAAACAATACCTTCTAATTGCTCCTCAAAAGGGAAACAGTTCATTTCACAACTTGGAAATAGAAGCAGTTCAGATGAGAGCATTTTAAAATAATGCCAGAGTTTACAATGTTTAGCTAACAGTGTTTGCCCTGGAATTAATTAAGTGGACAAGAGGTATTAATAGTGTTTTATTAGGCTTGATTCCTATGATAATCTACTTCTTTGAAAGTGGGTGCCATGCCCAGTCATCTGGTTATTTCAGTTGGATGTGGTTCAGTTGCTTTGGTCCCATAGAATCCCATCCAGTAAGTTTCATTTTCTGGCACCATACATAGTTATTACAATATTATTGACTATATTTCCTATGCTGTACATTGCATACCTGTAACTGTTTTGTAACTACCAACCTGCACTTCTTAATCCCTTCACCTTTTTCACCCAGTTCCCTATTCCCCTCTTCTCTGGCAACCATCAGTCTGTTCTTTGTATCTGTGAATCAGTTTCTGTTTTATTTGTTCATTTATATTGTTCTTCAGATTCCACATATAAGTGAAATCATATGGTATTTGTTTTTCTCTGACTGGCTTATTTCACTGAGCATAATACCCTCTAGGTCAGTGGTTCTCAACCTTCCTAATGTTGTGGTGACCCCCAACCATAAAATTATTTTCGTTGCTACTTTATAACTGTAATTTTGCTACTATTATGAATCGTCATGTAAATATCTGATATGCAGGATGTATTTTCATTGTTACAAATTGAACATAATTAAAGCATAGTGATTAATCACAAAAACAATATGTAATTACATATGTGTTTTCCGATGGTCTTAGGCGACCCCTGTGAAAGGGTCGTTCGACCCCCAAAGGGGTCGCGACCCACAGGTTGAGAACCGCTGCTCTAGGCCATCCATGCTGTCCCAAATGCTAAGATTTTATGCTTTTTTATGTCCTAGTAACAATTCATTGTATATGTTTACTACAGCATATATATATATATATATATACATATATATATATATACACACATATACATATACATAAATATATGTATATATATGTGTGTGTGTGTATATATATATTTCAGAGAGGAAGGAAAAGAGAGAGAGAGACAGAAACTTCAAGGATGAGAGAGAATCACCGATGAGAATCACCGATCGGCTGCCTCCTGCGCTGCCCCGCAACCTGGGCACATACCCCCCCCCCCCCCAACTGGAATCGAACCCAGGATCCTTCAGTCTGCAGGCCCAATGATCTATCCACTGAGCCAAACTGGCCAGGGCTGTACTACTGCTTTTTTTATCTACTAATGTATTGATGGACGGCTTGGCTATTGTAAAGAATACTGCGATGAGCGTAGGGATGCATATATTCTTTCGAATTTGAGTTTCTTCAGATATATACCCAGAAGTGGAATTGCTAGTCATAAAGCACTTCTATTTTTAATTTTTTGAGTAACCTCCATATTGTTTTCCAAAGTGGCTGTACCAGTCTGTATTCCTACCAGTGCATTAGGGTTCCCTTTTCTTCATATCCTTACCAACACTTGTTTGTTGATTTATTGATGATAGTCATTCTGACAGGTATGAGATGAGAGCTCATTTCATTTTTAATGTGCATTTCTCTGATGATTAGTGATGTTGAGCATCTTTTCATGTGTCTGTTGGCCATCTGTATGTACTCTTTGGAGATGATTTTATTTTAAAATCATAATCTCTGAGCCATAAATGAAGGAAAGCTGCAGGACTGGACAACTGTGGCCTACGACTTGGAAGGGGAAATATTTGGTTCTACTTTATAGCTAGCACTACATTTTGCATGTTGTATCCTAGTGTTTATATGCAAATATGCCATGAACTTCCTGGTATTTTTCTTTTTGGTAAATTATACTATAAAGAAATTTCTTACATATCATTAGATTTCTACAATACAAGTGCTTCTGAGGGGATAGATTTAGCAGATGCTATCAAATGAAATAGTCCTTTCCAGATACTGATGGAATGATGGTACTTTTATGTAATAAGTGTTCTGCAAGACGTAAGTCATTTTCCTGGTAAAGAAAATATCTCCTTTGATCATAACCTTAAAACCCTGGTGATAGTCCTATATGATATCATTACCATTACTCTAATTAACTGCATATAGAAATTTATAGAAGAGGTTAATGCAAGCTAATCTTTCAAGAACAGCGAGTTTCCTTAAATGCTGTTGACAAAAGTAGAAAATATACAATGACAGGAAGGTTTTAGGTTATCAACACCTTTCTTCACCCAACATCTTTCTTTGAGCTTGTCTCCTTTATTTAGAATATGAGGAGAGAATGAAATCCATGGGAAAAAAGGACTAAGGAAGCACTGTATCTTGTACTTACCAGTGGTTGGGCAAGAATAGAGAAAAGAGTTGATAGATTTTGTAATAAAGCAACAGTTTTAATTTTTTAATTGGAAATATTTAAACAGAGGGGACCACAGACATTGCAGAGTTGAACTTGTAATACATGTAGAGCAGGGATCAGCAAGTTTCCGCTGTAAAGAGCCAGATAGTAAATAGTTTAGGGCTTTGTGGGCAGTTCTCCGTTGCAACTACTCAACTTTGTATTTGTGGTGTGAAAGAAGACATAGACCATATATAAACGAATGAGTGTGGCTGTATTCCAATAAAATTGTATTTATGAACGCTGAAGTTTGGATTTCATATTTCCACATCTCACACGATGTTCTTTTGACAACCCCCGCCCCAGAGGGATATAAAACTAAAAACCAAACAAAAGTAGGTAATTGGCTGTTGTTTGCTAACCCCTAAGTCTCAGTTAGTGCTACTGCTAGCCAATAAAGATTATAACACGATGGTAGAACAGAATATCTGTCCCATGGCCCACCCTCCTTCATATCAAGAGGAGTTAAAAATATAAAATTTGCTTTATTTTCGAGATAAAATAAGAACAATAAAGTAGTAATATGATAGGATGTGTATGTAGTTAAGACTCAATGGAGTTAGGCCAGTAATATTTTTAGGAATTTGCTAAAAATACAAAAACAAAGCCAATAAAGTAAGTTCAGCAGCACAGTTCTTTGAACTGAGAAGTAGGAAGAATGCAGTAGTCTGTGAGGATGTCTTTTGGATTTAACTGCAGAATCTTTGAAAATTAATCTTTGAAGATTCTAAATCCATTAGAATCCAGTGGTATAGTTTTGTAAGACATTTCTTACAATGACACCTGAGAATGTTCCCACAATAAAATAAAATGAAAGGACCTTTAAAGAAACTGGATATGTTTTATTGGTTCTTGCTGCAACAAATCTCTTAGGTCTATTATTCAGAGACAAGCTTAAGTGAGGAGAGCATTGCTACTTAATTTACTCAACATTTTTAGGATTTAGTATTGCCAAAATATTTGGAAGTACTGCAAAATACAAAATATTTTCAGATTTTTGGTCCAGAAATGTAGGTTGGGATTTTCCCAAGCCTTATGCAGCATGGTGAAACTGTTTCTCCTTGCTTTGATTTCTTCCATCTTCTAGAGCAGGTGAAAAAAATTAACTGCCTCGGAAGGAAATACTCCCAGTCATGGAAACAGCTAATATAAAGAATAGAGAATTTTTCTTGAACCAGATAAATCAAATGTAATGATTAGATGAAAGAAATACAGCCTCAGAAGAGGCAGAATCAATTGTTAGCAATAGCTCAGAAAAAGAAACTTACTAGATGGAACTCTATTCAGCAAACGGTTTATTTCAGCGGTTCTCAACCTGTGGGTCACGACCCCTTTGGCGGTCGAATGATCCTTTCACAGGGGTCGCCTAAAACCATCCTGCATATCAGATACTTACATTACGATTCATAACAGTAGCAACATTACAGTTATGAAGTAGCAATAATTTTATGGTTGGGTCACAACATGAGGAACTGTATTTAAAGGGCCAGAAGGTTGAGAACCACTGTTTTATTTCAATGAGTTCGAATGGAATTTGTTTTTATATTTTTATATCTTAACTTCCTTTTTGAAAATGAGTTTTATTGTATATGCTTGATATGAAGGAAGACATTAAATTTAGAAAATAATAACTTTTGTCATACTGATTTCCCCACCCCACACCCCCATTTATGGGTTTTTGCTTGCTGCTTTGTAAATGGGAGAAAACACTTGAGAGATGCTAGATGTCTTAAAGTTAGATAGCTTCATTTAAAACTGATAGTTGGTAATACTGAAAAAATAAAATTAGTTGATAAATTTGTAAATTTATGTTGTTTAATATACCACAACAGGTTGAGGTTATTTCTATGAGCCTTAATAAATAGCTTTCTAATGCTAAACTAACAAAGTGGCTTCAGATATTTTTAAAGTACTTTGAGATATAAATAAAAATTTTAAAATTCTTTTTAATAAACTTTTCCCTGTGACTTAACCATGACATTTACATTTCTGATTGGCTAATGAAATTAGGGAAACTTTTGATTTGAAAACCAGAAGAACATTAGACAGTGCTTTTTATTTGGAGCTGATGTGTTCTCTCTGTTTTACTCTCTTTTTTTTCAGTGAAACCAGCAGTGTATGTAGCAGCAGTGACACAGGGCTCTTTACCAACGATGAAGGACGGCAAGGTAATCTTGATTCCAGCTTTAGGAAGATTCTAATGATTATAGGAGTGAGTCACTGAGAATATGGTGATTGTCGATAGCAGCGGTTCTCTAACTTTAGGGCATGTAAGAGCCACCTGGCTATTATTGTAGCCAATAGAAAGATGTTTGAGCCAAAAACCTGGATATATGGATTTAGTCTTGACTTTGTCATTATTGAAGGCCTTGGGCAAATGAAATAACTTCTTGACGTAAACCTTGGGGGACTATATTATTTGTTTCTGGTTAGTTTTTTTCCTGATAGCTTGGATTGCTAGTGTCAAGATGATTTTCTGTCCCATTAATGAGGTACCAAGGAAAAAACAAGGTATGGGATACATTCTTTATTTGCCTATTATGAGAAATTCAACTATAGCAAGAGATCCCTCAGAAACAGCTATAAACATTATATTTTATATAATATATATATTTTAAATATAATGTTACATGCAATAAACATTTCAAAAAAAGGTTTAAAATATAATAATATTTCCAAAACTGTGCTAACATAGTATAACTAGAGGCCCGGTGCCCAAAAATTTGTGCACTGGGGGAGGGGGTCCCTCAGCCCGGCCTGTGCCCTCTTGCAGTCTGGGACCCCTCGGGAGATAATGACCTGCTGGCTTAGGCCCGCTTCCGGGTGGCAGAGGGCAGGCCCAATTCCTAGGTGCAGCCCCTGGTCGGGCTCAGAGCAGGGCCGATTGGGGAGTTGGGGCGCCGCCCCCTGTCATGCACAGAGCAGGGTGGATCGGGAGGTTGCGATGCCACCCCCAGTCACGCTCAGGGTAGGGCCGATTGGGGGGTTGGGGCACCGCCCCCTGTCACACTCAAGGCAGGGTCGATGGGGAGGTTGTGGCGCCACCCCCTGTCACGCACAGAGCAGGGTCAATCAGGGGGTTGGGGTGCCTTCCCCTGTCACGAACAGAGCAGGGCGGATAGGGAGGTTGTGGCCCCGCCCCCTGTCACACACAGAGCCGCAGGGCGATCAGGGGGTTTGGGCGCTGCCCCCTGTCACGCTGATCCCAGTGCTGGGAGGCCTCACGGCTCCGCTTATCCCGGTGCTGGGAGGCCTCTCGGCTCCGCTGATCCCGGTGCTGGGAGGCATATTACCCTTTTACTATATAGGATAGAGGCCTGGTGTACGGGTGGGGTTGGCTGGTTTGTCCTGAAGGGTGTCCTGGATCAGGGTGGGGGTCCCCACTGGGGTGCCTGGCCAGCCTGGGTGAGGGGATGATGGCTGTTTGCAGCTGGTCACACACCTTCAGGGTGGGGGTCCCCACTGGGGTGCCTGGCCAGCCTGGGTGAGGGGCTGAGGGCTGTTTTCAGGCTGGTGGGTGACTGAAGCTCCCAACTGCTCCTTTTTTTCGTTTTCGTTTTTTTTTTTTTTTTCATTCTGGGCCAGCTTTAGCTCTGGCTCCAGCTCTGAGGCCTCTGCTGCTGAAAGCAGGTATCTGGTTTGTTTGGGTTCTATAATCGAAGCACTGTATGAACTCCAGCCCTGAGATCCAGGCTGGCTGAAAGCAGGTTTCTGGGGTTTTGTTTAGCTTCTATATTTGTAACAGTGTTTCAAACTGTAACCTCAGAGGCCGGCAAGGCAGGTGGGGAACGTTGGTTTCCTCCGTCACTGAAGCAAGGAAGCCTCATGTTAGCTTCAAGCTGCCTGGCTGCCGGCTGCCATCTTGGCTGGTAGTTAATTTGCATATCACCCTGATTAGTCAATGGGAAGGGTAGTGGATGTACGACTAATTACCATGTTTCTCTTTTATTAGATAGGATATCACAAAAGTTGTAGGAGATATTAAAAATCTGAAATAACAGGATTACTTCTATATTCTAAAATGTTTTATTTCTCTGGCTCTATTTTTGTTCATCAGTTAATGTTGTTCATTATAATCCACAAATGAGTGAGATCATGTGATATTTATCTTTCTCTGACTGGCTTATTTCACTTGACATAATGCTCTGCAGGTCCATCAATGCTGTTGCAAATGATAAGAGTGCCTTCTTTCTTACAGCAGTGTAGTATTTTCCATTGTGTAGATATACCACAGTTTTCTAATCCACTCATCTCTGATGGACACTTGGGCAGTTTCCAAATCTTAGCTATTGTAAATTGTGCTGCTATGAACATAGAGGTGCATATATCCTTTTTTACTGGTGTTTCTGATTTCTTGGGATATGTTCCTAGAAGTGGGATTACTGGGTCAAATGGGAGTTCCATTTTTAATTTTTTTGAGGAAACTCCATACTGTTTTCCACAGTGGTTGCACCAGTCTGCATCCTCACCAGCACTTGTCGTTTGTTGATGATAGCTGTTCTGACAGGTGTGAGATGGTACCTCATTTTCGTTTTGATTTGCACCTTTCGGATGATTAGTGACTTTGAGCATGTTTTCATATGTCTCTTGGCCTTCTGAATGTCCTCTTTTGAAAAGTGTCTATTTAGGTCCTTTGCCCGTTTTTTGATTGGATTCTTTATTTTCCTTTTCTTAAGTTGTATGAGTTCCCTATAAATTTTGGAGATTACACCCTTATCGGAGATAACATTGGCAAATATGTTCTCTCCTGCAGTGGCTTTCTTATTGAGAAACAGCTAGTTTTGAAATGAGAAACATTTGTGGGCTTTGAATCCCAAAGTTCATTTATGCCCCTGAGAATGGTAGGAGGCAGTTTATTTTTGTGGTAAAGGCTTTGGAGTTAGTCAGGCTTTGAATTCAAATCCTGGCTTCATCATATACCACCTGACCTTGACTTCTTTGGACTTTAGTTGCTTCATTTGTAAGTTGGAGTTAGTGTAAGGTTTGGAAGAAATAACATATTTACAGATTTTTAGCATGGGTCGTGGTAGGTGTAAGGGCTCAGTACTAGTAAGTGGCAGCTTTATTTTTGTGCTATTAAAAGCATTCCAGTTTGATATCCCAGTTTTCATCATAATATGGATCAAGAAGAAGGATCAAAACAGTTTTTTGTACTTTGACTTTATTTAAAAGTATTCTTAAACCTATAGCACTGAGAAGTTATTTTCCCATTTGGTTTTTAATAGAGCATGTTAATATTCCAGCTTATGAAAATGATCTCTTTATTTTAGGGGATGATGAGCAGAGTGATTGGTTCTATGAAGGAGAATGTGTCCCAGGATTCACTGTCCCTAATCTTCTGCCCAAGTGGGCTCCTGATCATTGCCCTGAAGTAGAAAGAATGGATTCTGGACTGGATAAACTTTCAGACTCCACATTCCTTTTACCGTCTCGGCCAGCTCAACGAGGTAAGTTCTGAGGAGACCAAAATATACTTCACGCTTTTATGGTTCTCTTTGGGGAGAATCATCCAACGGTATACATACTCCTTCCTTTAAGCATGTATTAACTATCTGAATTTTGGAGCTGGTCCAAAGATTTTTCTAGAGGATTCAAGCGTGGGTCTCGAAGCTTGAGGTTCTCTTTATTCTTACCTAAATCAGTGTCCTGAAGGAAAGGGCATTCCTTCAGCTTGCCGTTGCCATTTGTGCCAGATTTAGGAAGTGTGTCATGGCTGTTTATCCTGCTGTGACTGATGGGCTACTGAGTGCTCACTGGAAGCCTGAAGCACTGGGTCTTAGAAGAGAACAGATTTCAGTAAGAACATTCACATACAAGTTACAGTGGCTTTTAATAAAATATATGTTTTTAGCCGAAACCGGTTTGGCTCAGTGGATGGAGCGTCGGCCTGCGGACTGAGGGGTCCCGGGTTCGATTCCGGTCGGGGGCATGTGCCTGGGTTGCGGGCATATCCCCGGTGGGGGATGTGCGGGGGGCGGCTGATCGATGTTTCTCTCTCGTTGATGTTTCTGGCTCTCTATCTCTCTCCCTTCCTCTCTGTGGAAAATCAATAAAATATATTTAAAAAAAATATATATATATATATGTTTTTATTGATTTCAGGAGAGGAGTGGAGATGGAGAGAGAGATAGAAACATCAACGATGAGAGAGAATCATTGATTGGCTGCCTGTGCACTCCCCCTACAGGGGATTGAACCCACAACCTGGGCATATGCCCTTGACTGGAATCGAATACGGGACCTTTCAGTCCGCAGGCTGACTCTCTATCCACTGAGCCAAACTGGCTAGGGCACAGTGGCATTTTTTGAATGGATGATTTAAAAATATTCTTTAAATTTAAAAAATTCTCTTATTGTGGGTTTTAGCACAAATACACATTCCTTCCCTTTGCTTTTCCTTCAATGATGAAGTAGCAGAGTAGAGTGGAAGGAGCTGAGGACAGGGAGAAGGAAATGTGATAATACTGTCTGGGAGTGTCTAGCTCTCTGACTGACAGTCACCTCATTTCCTTGGGGTCTCAGGGTTATTTAAGATATTGATCAATGATTCTCTCTCAACATTGAACAATACTGTTTCAGAGGTTTCTTTTAGCTCTATGAATTTATGATTGTAGAATTCTCAGTAGTTAATAATCAATTCAGTCAGTTATCAAGTATTAGTTGAGCATCTGTTGGTGATAAGAATTTCACTAAGAGCTGTAAACTCCTGTAGCATTTCATTATGATGAATGTGGGTGTTTGAAAGGCCTTCTCAAAGAAATTGGTTCTTGATAAAGAGTACTCTCTGCCTGAGGAACATTGTGTGCTACCTTAATAATGTTTATCAAACATTTCCATGACCATGTCTAAAAGTTCTTTATGGACTAGTTAAAATACACACAAATAAGCAAGAATAGGAAGAAGAAGGAACTTAAAAATGGCCTATAATCCTATAGCCAGAGACAGTGTCATTGATGACATTTTGGTGTGGTTCTTCTAGTTGTCTTTTCTATGTGTAAAACACATACAGCAGTCAGAAAAATGGGGTTGGATTATACATGCTATTTTTACCATTATTTCATGAATTAGAATGGCTTTGAGCAATAACTAGCATTTAACTTGTAGTTATAAATTGTTGATAATACCTCATATATTTTAGTTTTTTTTTAGTTTATTAGTACCTTCCATGTGCTATTTCATTTGGTTTCAAACATCCTTATAAGATAGGACTGAGCAAGTGGATAGCCCTCTTTTACAGATGTGGATGCCTAGGTCAAAGGTAAGTGACATGCCTGAGATCACTACTGGTGACAAAGACTTGGAGATAGTAAATCCTTGACAAATAGCCTGGTGATACTAGTTTAAGGGTCAATCTAGTAGATCCTGGGTGAGAAGGACTCTAGTCTCCTGGAAGCATGTCATTGCTAATGAATCTTCTACATTCAGTTACTGAGGACTGCCTTTGTTTTGTTTTAGGGTACCATTCTCGCTTGAATCGTCTGCCTGGAGCTGCTCGATGTCTCAGAAAGGGGCGAAGGAGGCTTGTTGGGAAGGTGATGGCTCTTAGTGTTTACAGGCTCCGTGGGAGGATAATATTCTTTTGGGGATTTGTGTGCCCTCTTGATAATCAAAGGTGCTGCAGAGCACCCTGGAGTTAATTAAGCCAACTGGAATATTTTGCAAGTTCATAGAGTGAACGTTATGTAGATATGGATGGATAAACACATAAAGGATGAAGTTTAATTCATATAGAACTTCTGACAGCAAACACTGTCATTATGACAGTATCTGCTGCCTATAAATCTACAGGCCTGATCTTTCTCTATTCTGTTTTTTTTATGAATCTTTTATGATTATTATGTAAGTTAAAACACTCTTGACTTCTTCATGACTCTTCCTGAATTCATGGGTGCTTCTTCTGTCCTGTCTTTGGTCTTTTACTCTAAAATTCTTGAAAAGAAAAAACGTACCAAATTTCAAAACCCCCTCACTGGCCGTGAGGGAGGAATATCTACTTACTCAGGTCTGCCTTTTCCAGTGACTGTGATGGGCACTCACTTCATTAATCCTCCCAACAACCTTGAAAAAAAGTGCTATTCCCCTTTAGCAGGTGAGAAAAACTTGGGTTCAAAGACGTTCAGTAATGTCTGATGTTATCCAGATAGATAGAAGTGGCAGAGTAGAGAGTTGAACCTAGGTCTACTTCTCTTTTTTATTTAAATTTAAAAAATTATTTTTTACTTTAGCTTTGAGATTGAATATAGGTTAAGATTGGAGCTCATACCCAGTCAGAGAAGATGGTGGTGGGCAAAGAGTGAGAAAGAGAGAGGCATTTTAGAGCATTAATTAGTTGGCTTACTCAGTAAGCATTTAGAATGCCTATGTTGCAGGCTCTGTGCCAACCTGGTTATACTAGTACTAGAGGCCCAGCGCACGAAATTCGTGCACTCGGGGGTGTGGGGTGTCCCTCAGACCGGCCTGCATCCTCTCACAGTCCGGGAGCCCTTGGGGGATGTCCAACTGATGGTTCAGTCCTGCTCCCTGTGGAGAGTGGGTCTAAGCCAGCAGTCGGACATCCTTAGCGCTGCCACAGAGGCGGGAGAGGCTCCTGCCACCACTGCTGCGCTCGCCAGCCATGAGCCCGGCTTCTGGCTGAGTGGTGCTCCCCCTGTGGGAGCTCACTAACCACCAGGGAGCAGCTCCTGTGTTGAGTGTCTGCCCCCTGCTGGTCAGTGCGCATCATAGCAACTGGTCATTCTGCTGCTCGGTCTATTTGCATATTAGGGTTTTATTATATAGGATAGTAGTCAGAGCCACAGTCTGGCTTACGTCAGAGAGTTGCTATCTTATAATTTAATCAGGGAATTGTTTTTTTGAAGTTTTAGTCAAAATAAATGAGGCTGTTTTTATTATATGTATTCATCTATGAGAATCCAGATAAACTTAGATTCTTTATATCTTTAAATTCAATTTCAAATGTTTAATTAGAAAGACATTTGATTATTGGGAGAACGATGCCTTCTTTTGGGTTACTCATTTTCCCGACAATAAAAAGCTGCCTTTGTTGTTCTGGGTGCATATTCTTGACAGCTAGCAGGGTATGAGTGAGTACATGGGGGTGGAGGGAAGCAGGAGCTTGGCAGTGGGAAACAGAGTGATGGTTTGATCTTTTTCTCTTTATTGGTTAAGCTTGACAAAAGTTTTCCCCTACCACCTACCTTACTTTGTTTCAGCTCCTATAAAAATAAGAACCTTTCACTTCCATGGAAGTAAATCAGTTCAACTTGAAGGCTTCCTTAGGTTTGCCTGCAAGAAAACTAGGGCCTTTTGGATGTCTCTAAGGATTGCAAATGAATAGAATAATATTTACTTGTTTAATTCATCTTCATCACCTTAAAGGGATATTTGTCATTTCTAGCAGAGGTCACTGTTCTGCTTCCCTCTCCCCCCCTCCCCATGCCTCTTCTTTTTTTCTAAATTGTAATCATAAATAATGAGTTTCATTCACAGCTTCCTGCTAGCGAGCTGCTAATTACGCCAAGTACTGCTTGTAATTTACATAGTAATAAACTGTAAATTTAAACATTACGGCACTTTAAGTTAATAATTTTTTTTGCTGTAACAAATAGCTCATTTTTCACGCATCTTTTATCTTGGCCCCACTACCGTGGCTGTGTCTGTGACCAGGAGGCACAGGTATAGGGATGAAGAGTATGAAGAATACAGTATGTGAAACCTTTTCATTTACCTGCACTCCTGCACAAAATCTGACCTCAAATTGATTTTTCATTAGCTGGTTCTGCTAAAATGTGTATCCTAATATTTAAGCTAATTATGCACATAGATGAATACAGATAATAATATTTGTCCAGAAACAAATGCATTTGAGTAGCAGGTTTGACATTCTTGACATGCATGCCCTAGGACTTACTCTCATCTTAGCACTTACTCATATGTGTATAGCTCTTATTTATACACTGTTGGTATGCTTCCCCGGGCACTGTGATAGATACTCATTGTAAATATGCTCACGTTAAATGAAGGGTGAGTGCCTTCTGCCATTTTCCAGTTTTTTTGGAGATGATTAGGTTTTGAATTGCTTGTAGTGTTAGGGTAACATTTCATGTTGCAAATTCGAAAACCCCAAATTTAGGAAATAATTTATGCAAACTTCTATTTCTTGTTTTAAGAGATGACATTTAACAGACAAAATATAGGTGATAGTTTTTGTAAGTTGCAAAAATCCTTTGCTATGTATATACATTTACTCAGTAGATATTTAGGTGTTATTAGTGAGGACTCTGTAAATGGATGTGCTGCTGGTCTGTTCAAAATGAGCTGGGTTGAATTTTTTTAAAAAAGTGTTTTTATTTCTATATACTTGAATATCTCCAGGAGATATTACTATTATAAAATACTATATATAGTAAACAATGTTTATAACAACTGTTTTGAAAGACTAAAGAAAAGTAAGTCTAGGGTAACATGAAATACTTTTTAAAAAAATTGATTTTAAGAGAGAGAGGAAGGGAGATGGAGAGAGAGGGAGAGAGATTGGTTGCCTCTGCACACACCCCAACTGGGCTGGGGATCGAACTTGGGACCCCGGTAAATGCCCTAACTGGGAATTAAACTGCGACCCTCCAGTGCATGGAATGCTCCCAGTGGTCGGCAAACTGCAGCTCGTCAAACTGCAGCTCACGAGCCACATGTGGCTCTTTGGCCCCTTCAGTGTGGCTCTTCCACAAAATACTGGCTCTTCCATAAAATACTGACTTCTGCGCATGGGCCACAAAGTTTCAGTCGCACTGTACTGTACATGCGCGTCTGCATGTCGCATTTTGTAGAAGAGCCACACTCAAGGGGCCAAAGAGCCGCATGTGGCTCGCGAGCTGTGGTTTGCCGACCACGGCTGTAACCAGTTGAGCCACACTGACCAGTGCAACATGAAATACTTGTTAGATTCTCATAAAAATAAATATACTTGCTGTTGGATTTTAAGATTGACATTTGACATGTTCCTTTGAAGTTGCTGGTACATTTATGAGAAAGTGTGAGATTGATGACAGGTTGTGCTTCATATATTTGTTTCTGTGGTTAGATGACACTCTTGTCTTCCTTGTCTTTTCAGGAGACCAGCATAAGTACTTTGGGTACTGAGAGGATAGGCCACATCATTAGTGACTCCCGGCAGAAAGAGTAAGTGCTTATGTATTTACTGGATATTCTAATCTGTTCCTTGGAGAAGGAAGAAGGGGAACGTTTTATAAAGGAACCTAGAAATCTGACTTTAAAGATGAAAGAGGAGATTTTTTTTAAAATACTATATTTTTATTTATTTCAGAGAGGAATGGAGAGGGGGAGAGAGAAACATCAATGATGAGAGAGAATCATTGATTGGCTGCCTCCTGCACACCCCCTCCTGGGAATCGAGCCCACAATCCAGGCCAGTGCCTTTGACCAAAATCCAACCCTGGCCCCTTCAGTTCGCCGGCCGACGCTCTATCCACTGAGTAAAACCAGCTAGGGCCTGCAAGAGGAGATCTTAATAGTCAACATGGGTAATGCCCTAAACCTATGAGAATTACTATTTTTTTCCTTTCTAGACTAGTTTTTATTTCTTTGCTTTTTATATGTATAGGTGCTGCATTTTAAAAGTAGCCTCCAATGAAGATGCTACATTTTAAACTCATTTTTCTGTCTCTTAAAATTGTTTTTGTTCAAAATAGGTGATTGCGTCTAAATTTGCTTATATTCCCTTCTCATTTTTAGACCTCTATATAGAGAAATATTTTTTTTGTCCTAACTACTGTGATAAGTACAACTAAAAAGCCTATGTATAGCTATGGGAAAGTCATTCCATCCCTTCTTGTGACAGCCTGTTCTCCTAACATGATTGGCTCTTTGATATTTCCTGAACACGTCATGGTCAGTACCCAGTTATGGTCTATACCAGTGATGGCGAACCTATGACAGGCGTGTCAGAGGTGACATGCGAACTCATTTTTTTGGTTGATTTTTCTTTGTTAAATGGCATTTAAATATATAAAATAAATATCAAAAATATAAATCTTTGTTTTACTATGGTTGCAAATATCAAAAAATTTCTATATGTGACATGGCACCAGAGTTAAGTTAGGGTTTTTCAAAATGCTGACACGCCGAGCTCAAAAGGTTCGCCATCACTGGTCTATACCTATCTAGCCTGGGTGAATTTTTAATGTACAAAATAGGCAAGATGTGCATGTAGTTTATGCTCTAGTTGAATTGGAGACCCTCTTGTCACTGCACAGCTGAGAGCATTGTTTTCACAGTCTAATCAAAGGTTTATTTGTAGAGTGTCCAGTCTTTTACATTCCATTACAAGGCTTTTCCTTTGAAGAGTTATTTTCTGCAAAAAGTTCAGACACATTAACATCTCTTTTCTCCTCCAATTCCATCTTTTCCCATTTCTTTCTTTGTCTTCTCTTCATTATGCAGACATCTTTTTATCTTCTCCCTCCCTCTGTAATTTTCCTACTACTTCTTTTATTGTTTTCTTTACTGTTATTCTCTTCCTCTCTCTAGTGTCTGGTTACCATCAGCTGGGAAAAGGGAACGAAATCAGGTAAGGTCTTTTCTTTATTTTATCTCTATTTTATCACTTGATTTTCTTTTCTTTAAAAAGAATAAAGTATTGGCTTCTGATTTTCCTTCCCTTCTGCTTGTGCACATGAGGTAAGGTTCTTGTTCCCTATCTTGTTCTCATTTTCTTGGAGGACTGTTGCCCAAGAATAGGTACTCACTAATAAGACCTGTAGCTACTTGTTAAGTTCAGCTGTAATCTTTAGTTTATTACTTGTAACACATATTTCATAGGAATCCCATTTTTATTTTTATTTTGAACTTTGCAGTAAGAAATCAGAATGAACCTCATCTGCTTATTGTTTAGTTCAGCAGCAGACTCTTGTGCTGAGAAGTACACTGTTGAAGCCTACACATATGAAACAGAAGTCTACGTAGAGCTGCTTTGGGTGAAGTGGAGTTGAGGGCTTAGAGCCTTGCCCTCTTAGTCTTGTCCCTAGCTACCCACTGAGGGAGCCCTTGGCACATCTAGTCCTTTGTTGTAGGGGACATAATTTAAAAACTATTGATTGTGGCTATTGTTCCTTTATGTTTGAAGCTTTTGATTTTTGGAAGAGAGGTTGCTTTATCTTGGTGATTAGTTATAAAATAGATGTAATCATTATATCAAACTTGTTATTTCATAGAAATAGAGTAAGGACAATGCTGAAGAATAATAATTGATATAAAAATATTAAGTAAATAGTGCAGGTGGTGGCCAAACATGGAAAAAGTCATTAAGGTCGTATGTGAAAGACTTTGGGGAACTCCAAGCTAGAGTGCTCATCATGGTTGCCTCAGAGGATCTAAAGGCAGAGGGGACCTTTGGGGATGTATTATTTACAGGTGAGGTTTAATCTGTTTGTCTCAAGTCATAGAGCTTGTAGAACTGCGACTGGAACCTCTGACACAGAGAACAGTTCCATAGTTTGTATTCTCTTAAGTTCTTTTGTAATGACCATTTGGAGTTCTTTCAGTCTTAAAATATATTTAGTTCTGAAATTTTGGGGAGGTTTATTTATTGTGGAAAAAGTCTAAAGAAAGTAGCAAAAGTAAGGTACTTTTATGTATAGTGTCCCACTTGATCCTTGCAACCACCTTTTGAGGTCCATAGATGTTTTATAGATGATAAACTGAAATCCTATATAATAAAAGCCTAATATGCAAATTGACCCAATGGTGGAATGACAGGTCACTATGATGAACACTGACCACCAGGGTGGCAGCGGGGGGGGGGGGGGGGGAGGAGGGGGGCGGCAAGTGGGTGGTGCTAGGCCAGCCAAGGCAGGTGTCAACAGGGGAGCCCCCAGTTGCCCCACCGGTCACCCCACAGATTGGCCCTGATCGCCAGCCAGGCCTAGGGACCCTACCGCAGTGGTCGGCAAACTCATTAGTCAACAGAGCCAAATATCAACAGTATAATGATTGAAATTTCTTTTGAGAGCCAAATTTTTTAAACTTAAACTATATAGGTAGGTACATTGTTATTAACTTAATTAGAGTACTCCTAAGCTGGCCTTTGCTAAAAACGTCCTCAGTCTGATGGAGATACATTCGCTGAGGTCGACCCCTTCCAACTCTCCCATCCACACTCGTCTTGTATACTTGTTTCGTCTATCTCCTTTCGTTCATCCTCTCTATATGGCCAAACCATCTCAACATATCTTTCTCAATCCTCGACACTACATCTTCTTTCACTCCACAACGTTCCCTAAAATTAACTTAATAAAGTTTCAGTTGCACTGAACATGTGTGCCCGCACGTGGTATTTTGTGGAAGAGCCACACTCAAGGGGCCAAAGAGCCGCATGTGGCTTGCGAGGGGCGGTTTGCCGACCACTGCCCTACTGGTGCACGAATTTTGTGCACCGGGCCTCTAGTGACTTTATAAACTGAAAGCAATGTTTCATTCAGCCCTCATAAAAGTCCTATAAAATAGGTAAGACAGAAAGCAGTACATTCATTTCCCAGGTGAGGATAGTAAAGCTTAAAGTGATTATGTAGTTTTTAATACATGACTGCTCAGATGGTAGACTGGAACTAAATATTCCAATTCTTAATGTAGTTCTGTTTTCACTACACTGTGCTGCTGGTATGTGCTAACCAGTTATTCACTGGAAACATTTGCCAGGATAAGGAAATGAAAAGGTAATTTTAGTAGTCTTCTAGGTAGTCTTCTTAGGCCCAAGGGGTGGTAATCAACAGATGTAAGTTTCCGTTATGTCAGTTATAAAGTACAGTTGACCCTTGAACAACATGCATATGAATTGTGCAGGTCTGCTTATACACAAATTAAAAACAAAACAAAACTGAAATGTATTTTCTTAATAAAATTTTTTTTCTTAACCTTCTTGTAGGAATACAGTATATAATACACATAGCATATAAACTATATGTTAACAGACTGTTTATGTTATCAGCAAGGCTTCTGGTCAACAGTAGGCTGTTAGTAGTTACGTTTTGGGGAAGTCAGAAGTTATACATGAATATTTGACCTGTGCTGGGGGTTGGTGCTCCTAACCGCCGTGTTTGTTCAAGGGTCCACTGTACTGTCCTCTGCCATTTAAGTAATTATTGTTTATCAGAAGTTTTTGGAAAAGAATAGTTTTTTGGGGTGGTAGATGAGCTGTGCTGGGTACACTGTTGGATGTGCAAAACCTTACTGAAGGGTGTCTGTGGGACAGCAAAGGAGTTGAATGGTCAAAGCGAAAAAGTAATCAAGTAGCAGGTTACTCTTTCCAATCATGTCTGTTTTGTATACGCTTTACTAAAATAATCTTATTTATTTTTGCAGTTTAATCCCCTCTCTCCCCTTTACTCCCTGGATGTTCTTGCTGATGCTTCTCACCGACGGTGTTCACCTGCACACTGCTCTGCCAGGTAATGGTCTTCTTGTGGCTATTTCTTCCAGACAATGCCATTTTTCTTTTTACAGCACCTTTTGAATTATGAAGTGTGTTTGTGTATAGTGTCCAGTTTGATCTTTACAACAGCCTTTTGAGGTCAGTGGATGTTTTCAGATGTAGAAACTGAGGCAGAGTGGCAAGGTAACTTCCCTATGGTCATGTAACTAGTATGTGATTTAAGTTTCAACTTTGACCTAGTTTTCTGGCTCATATTTCATATTTCTTCTACAAGCCCCATCTTCAGAGAACATTATTAATGATCCTTGCCATGACCTGAAAAATTCTGCATAATCTGACTTCTGCCTATATGTCCAAACCCCTTTCATAAACGTCTTTCTCCTCACTGGGGGAGGGATCCAGCTGCATCAGGGAGCTCCATTTTGTTCTTCAAAAGAAGCAACCCTTTCCTGCCTCTGAACCTTCACACGTGCTCCCTTTACTTGGACTGCCATCTTATAGCAGTTCCCAGGATTGGCTTTTTCTCATCTCAACCTCTTCAGGGAGGACCTCTTAGACCAGCCGTCGGCAAACTATGGCCCACGGGCCGGATCCGGCCCGTTTGAAATGAATAAAACTAAAAAAAAAAAAGACTCTACCCTTTTATGTAATGATGTTTACTTTGAATTTATATTAGTTCACACAAACACTCCATCCATGCTTTTGTTCCGGCCCTCCGGTCCAGTTTAAGAACCCATTGTGGCCCTCGAGTCAAAAAGTTTGCCCACCCCTGTCTTAGACCATCCTATTTAAAGGGGCCACCTCTACCACTCTGCTTATTATCTGTTTCTTTTTTATTAGAGCTTTAACATCGTCTATATTGACTTTGTTTATTGCCCCCCCCCCCCACTAGAATATAAACTTCAAGTGCAGGGACCTTGTCTTGTTCCCTGATATATCCCCAGCATCTAACGCAGAGTCTAGCACTTGCTAGGCATTTAGTGTACATTTGTTAGGATGAATCCTGAGCCCACATGGTAGAATGAATTTAGCGCCTCTCAATATAAATTCTCTTAAGTTAGGTGACATGGAAAGTAAATTCGGTTTTTATTGTAGCATCTCCTAGCAGGACTAATGTGTACAAAAGAGCAGTTAATAGGCTGAACCAAAGGACTTTTACTGTTTATAGTAGCACAGTGAATTTCTTTCCAAGGTTCTGATGATTTTCCCCCCTAATATGTTCTTAAATGGATGTGTTCATTACATTTGAGGTACAGAGTACACAAAGAAGTTATTCTTTCATGGATATAAGTAGAACTTCCACTATGGGCTATAACAATAAACTCTGTATCATAAACTGCTGCCAGACCTTCTAGGAGAAGTAGTATTTAAATGGGGAAAGCCTTTTGAAAAGAGAGACTATCACAAATGGTGTTACTAGGAAAGTGGAAAATTGTGGGATGATGATAAACTACTATACGGCCTTTTCTTCAGTAGATTGCAATTCATCATTCATTCATTCAACATTTGCTGACACCCTACTATGTGGCAGGGTCTTTGCTTAGGTAATATCTTAAGGAGCTCCTATTTTCATGGAAAAGTCAGGTGTGGAAATTGACAGTTGCAATATGGATTGATAAGTGCATAAAGGTGTGCACGACATTGATATGAAGCACAGAGGAGGGGCTTCAACTTAGAGGCTCAGGGAGGTTTTCTTAGAGGTGGTGTGTGCAAACTATCTTGGAAGACACAAAATTTCAATCCCTAAGTAAGCAATCCTCAAGCTTTTGTCTTGATACCAAATAAAATAATGGCCATGTATACTTTTTGCTAAGACTATAAGAAGCACTGTATCATGTCAGATGCTGGAAGTGGATTATTAGCCTTCTTTCCTTTACCTCTGCTACCTAGAGCTGTACTGTGCTCAGTATCCATGCTTTTATCAGGCTTGCTGTTGCCTTTAAAACCTCATTCCCCTGGAGTGAGTGTCAACTTCTTGTTTCTTTGTGTGTATCATTATCCATATCATTATTTTCCTTCTCTTGCTGGCAGTGCTTGTAGCTAGACTTGGAAACATAACGATGTCTAGGTTGTGCTTCTGGTGCACTCAGCTCTAGGGAAATGTTGCTTATTGCTCTCCACCATGGATGAAAAAAAGCAAGGGGAGAGAACGTGGACAATGATAGCTCATAGCTTGTCCTTCTAGACATCATTTCTAGGGTAGTGGATACAAAATGAGTTGACTGTATGAGGTTTTTTGGGAGAAGTGGAAGGTAAAGTGTTTAAACATAAATTTATTTTCTTAAATTTAATTTTTTGTATTAAATTGTTCCTATGTAGTCTAGCGGCACATAATTTTCCTCTTGTGGCTATTTCTTCCATACAGTGCCATGTATTACATATATATGGTGTGTTCATTCAAATTTTTTACTCATGAGGGTGCACACTTAATAAAGTTTGATGACCACTAATCTATGGGGATGGTCAGCACAAGTGATCTCTATGCAGTTTTTAGAAAATGTGGATGATGGGACACTGAGCCCCTGGGGCTCCCTCTCGTTCCTTTGAAATAGTGGGGTTCCTACCCAGCAAGGGCTCAGTAGAGAAGAAGCAGTCTAGTTTCAGTGTGACTGAGGGATGAGATTGGATTCAGAACTGGATGGTGGGATTTGTGAAAAGTGGACGATTTAACAGAGCTTGGCACCTAGAAAGGCGAATGTTGAAGAGTGGTGGTAGGGAAGAGGCAGGTGAATGAATAGAAAACTGTTTCTAATGGAAATTTTATCTCTTTCTTGTTCCATTTTATCTGTAGTAGGAAAAATTTCTTTCAAAGCATCTGGGCAGCACTGGGAATTTCACACCCATCATTAGAACGATTTGTGTGTGTGTGGTGACTATGTTATCATTAGTGGTATAATTTTATTTGGCGGAGAGAGAAGTGTTTCCTGTTTTATCACAGCTTTCCCTGAGGAGGGCTGGTGTATTAATTTGCTGTATTGCCTCCTGGCTGTTCCCAGGCTGTTTTTCCTCTTCATCATGGAATTTTTAATGGCCCTAGTGCCTCTTGGGAAGCATGTGAGGAAGAGCTCCTCGGGGAGTGCTTTTCTTTTTTCACATGCCTATAATTACTCTCCTTTAAGAGCACAAAGAGTTTGATAATCATGCCTGAACTGTGAAGGCTTCCTCCGTCTGGTTATGGCGCTGAGGCTGCTTCCTGCCTGGACATGGCCAGTCCCACAGTCCCCCACACTCAACTGCAGGAGAGTGAGGAGCCTTTGCCCACCTCCTCACCGCTGCATCATAATACAGCTCTGGTTCTCAGCAGGAGGCCTGGAGGCTGCTTGGGGGCCATGAGTGACTTTCTTGTTTAGTATTTCATTCCTACAAACAAAGAAATAATGAGACCGAGATTTTAAGAGGACATTTTATTGATGTTTCATTTTAATACAGCCCAGATGGCAGGCGCAATGGATGGGAGAGGGAGTCTTTGTGGTGGTTGTGCCACGTTACAGATTTGTGGGACAAGAGGTTTTCAGAAATACCACTCTAGCAATACTTAATTTGGTGGTTTTCAAACCTGGCTGCACTTTGGAATCACCTGAGAAGCTTTAAAAAAAATATCCATGCTGGGCTCCACTTCCCATGATTATGATTTAATTGGCCTGGGATGAGGCCCAGGCATTGGCATTATTTTAAAGCTCCCTGTGACTCTGATATGCTGCCAGGGTTAAGAACTATTGCCCCAAATGCATATGGTTTTATGAGTGGTGCTGTGTAATTTGCTTAACAGGAAATCTCATCATAATTGGCATGAGCTCTGTGCTTTGATATTGTGAGCATGATTTTTTGTGGGAGGTAAAACACTGGACATCTCCTAGCTTTGGAGAACTGCTGTAGGTGAGAAGAGAGTGTTAGGGGTTAGCTCAGTGCTTTGCATGTAGTGATTAATGTGGGAGGAGTTGCTGGGCGGGTGTATGGATGACATTCTTAAACCCCCTGTTTAGGTTTGGTTGTTTGGATTGCTAGTATTGGGGTGTTACTATAAAATAGTATATACTTGGTGTTGGTGTTAAGAATTGCTGCTGCTCCAACAGCAGAAGGTGTAATTGGCGTTCTGGTAGAGGCGGTGGAATTGCTGTCAGGAACTCAGTCAGAGCATGGTAATAAGGAGCTAGTGCTGTAGGCTGCTTTTCCCAAAATGAGAGTTATTGATTATCCAGGATAGCTTTTCTTGCCATTATTGCCTTAGAAAACCAAAACTGGAACTTACCAACTGCTGTATCTCTCTGCATGATGCACAGGTCACCAGTTGTAGTTTTTGAATGTCACATGGCAGCTGTGGGTTTTCTTCAATTTTCCTTGCTTTTGGGTAGTGATTTGGTAACGAATCACCATTTCCATTTATTTCTTGTGAAGTTCTCAGTCTCATATTAGTGGATACTAGACCCAGGTAAGACTCTTGGCTTTACCTGGGTAAATGACTTGACCTCCCCATACCTCAATTTCCTCATCTGTAAAATAGAATACTAATATTTATTGGGCTAGTGATTATCAAAATGAAATATATATTTGAATATTTCATATACTAGTAGCTAATATTATTTTTGTTATATAGTTACTACCCTACCTTGTCCTTAGGATAATTATAGTTTTACAAAGTTGGCTTCCAGAGCTGTTAACTAATGAGATGTGTACAGATTCTTGAGGTGCTTAAATGGCCTCAAATGGACTATAAGAGGAGGCATTTGGACAGTATGTGGGTATAAAAGAGAGACCTTCCTGCCCATTAGAGATTTGAAATATGATAGGCTGTGCTCATTGTAATTCATTTTATCTGTTCACAAACGTTATGATCTGCATATCAGAGTTGTGTGCCCAGCTGGCTGTGCCACTTGACAAGGAGTTTCAAAGAGCAAGAAGAAGACTCAATTCATGCTATTATTTCTGACCTTTGGAGCCGTAGTAAACAGCCCCAGGTTTTACCTCAGGGCTTGGGGGAAAGAACCTTTTGTTAGTCCCGTGTCTGTGGGGGATGCT